GGTGACAGTCTGGGCTGCTGATGGAACAACAGGAAGTTCTCCTGAGGAGTATGGTGTGAGCAGAGGGCAGATGGAAACAGGGAGCAGCAGGGTTGGGCAGAGGGCTCTGAGGAGCTCCTTGGGGTGGGGGAAGGGCTGAAGACACACCCTCTTCCCCGCCCTCAGAAACCCTTATGACTCTCCCCTGCTCTGTGATGCAGGCTTGGGACTCTAGTCAAGCTCAGGAACCCTCAGAATCAGACACCTCAGGCAGCCATGCTGTTTATACTATGGAGAACATTCTCTCATCTCTGAATGACCTCACTGAGTCATGGCTGACCCTTGGCTCAGCTTCCTACCACATAGACCTCAGCTACACTCTTCTGAGTGGACTGGGGCTACTGCTTCTGTACATCTGTTACCTGATAGTGAGACTGCTTATACAGTGGCTGTGGAGAAAGAAATACACCCCTAAGGTAAGGGAGTGTGGTGAGTTCCCAAGAGAGACTCTTCCTTGCTGGACTGTAGTTCTGTTCTCTGGCTGTGGGGTGTGCTTGGCAGTCAGAGGGATGTCTGAGATGAATGAGTGAGGAGGGGAGAGGAGGGGAGGGGGAAGGAGGGGAGAGGGAAGACAGGAGAGAAGAGAGGGGAGAGAGGAAGAGAGGGGAGGGGAAGGGGAGGGAGGGGAGAGAGGGGAGAGGGGAGGGGAGGGGGTAGAGGAGAAGGAGGGGAAGGGGAGAGGGGGAGAGGCTGGGGAGAGGAGGAGAGGTGTGAGAGGAATCAGGGAGGACTAAGAGTCCCATCTGGAGCCCACATTCACCTCCCTATCTGTGTGTGGTTGTAGTTTCCAGGACAAAGTAGGAAACTGGTCCCAGTGGCTTGGCTCCAGTCTTTGGGCTCTGGGGAGGAGAGCACCCCTCCTGACAGAAGATCCCATGATCCACTCCCGCATCCCGTGTCCCTTCCCCTACCCTCCTCCATGAGGAACCAGTCAGGATCACAGTGCTGCACGCTGAAGGCCAGTGGTAAACTCCTCAGAAAGAATGCCACACTGTCCTTTAGTTTCCCAGAGGAGAGTGGAAATAAGTAGCCAGCTTCACAGTTAGTAAAGCAGACACGTCTATTATTCAGTGGGTCCTGGGATGTGCCTGGTCAGTGGGCTTCTGAGTCTCTTAGGAAGAGGAACATAACCAGTGAGTTCTGGGCTCATTTTCTCCTGTCGTTGGCAGCTACTGGAGAAAGGGAAGACGAGAAGGCAAGCCCTTACAGGTAGGTGTCTGCCTCTGACCTTCTCTTCTCAGGTTCCCTACCGTGTCCTTTCCATAGGATTCCAAGTTTATGATCAGAGGATGTCGGTTGTTATACATAATCCCTTAATCAAGAGGGAGGGGGGACCCTGTGAGGAAAGATATGAAGACAGGCAGACTGCCCCTCAGGCCCCTATGGGATGTGCAGGGGAGAGTGACAGTCTTTGATGACTGGATGGCCCCTCAGGGACCTTCTGAGATGTGCAGGATGGGACTGGCTACTTTGAAGTACAGCTTAAGACTCCTGACACTGCGTCCCCTGCTTCCTTCCTGGGAGCTCACAGCCATGAGGAAACCACTGAGCAGTGTTTCCTGCATTGGTTTTGAGTGACACTCAACAGCACAGGGGGAGGGATTAGCATCTAAGCCGCAGGCTTGTGCGTGTGAACGCTCTGAGTGTTCTCATGGAACGCTTGTTGTTGCTTCTCGGTGCTTTCAGGAATCACGACCCCAAGTGTTTTCCCTAAGTCTACCCTCATCCAATGCTAGTTTCTACCTCCGTTCTCTATAACCCGTTATCTCTCTTATTTAAGGTGAGGGAACTTGCCAGAGAGAAGCAGAGCAGAGAAGGGAGCTGCAGATAACCCAGCAAAGGTGATTTGCTTCCCTTCCTTCCTGGTCCCTTTCCCCACATATCTCTTGCTTCCCAGGGACCCAGTGCCTCCTACCCTTTTGGGGGAGAGGCACACATAGCAACAGGTCATAGGAGGAGGTCACAGAGGACAGCCAGGGATGGGGTAGTGTGAATGGGCTAGACCAGCAGGCCCTCATTTCCACAGGCTGGCCCCAGTGATAGCTTGACCTTCATATCTCCCGCAGCTTTCTGGAAGAGCCCTCCGATGCCACCTGCAATGAACTACTGCTACATAAAGATCCCCTCTTCCCTGCGTGTGACATCTCTGGTGATGTTGGTCATCAGCTCTCCCAGGCCATCCTCAAAGATGGTGGTGCCTCTCACTTGTGCGTGGTCTCCACAGCTCCTGGGACAGAGACCTCCTTTATTCTGTCCTCTATGCTCACAGGAAACCAGACAGGGCATCCAGCTCAAGCCCGTCCTCCGGAGCCTTTACCGCTGGCTCAGTCCATCCTCTCACCTAACCGCTTTGCCCCCCCAGAAGGCTTCTACTCCTCCACACAACTGTGCAACTCTCTGACACGGGAGTCCACACTTCCCTCAAACCCTCCACTTCTCCAGGACCCCACCCCACCCTATCCACTTGTCTCTTTTTCTCTTCCAACAAAAGAAGGGCAGAAGTCAGAAGTGGACTTCCAACCGGAAACCACTAGATCTCTGGTGGATGGACTCAATGAGATGCCCACTTATGTCCCAGCAGCCAGAGGCACTGGCTATGTAAGACAAGCAATGCCAGAGCCCTCCCAGCAGCAGTATGCTGCCGACAACCAGTTATCTTCAGACTCCTTTAACCAGCATCTCCCACCGCCCCGTGTGTCTCAAGCCCCTTTGCAGGGAGACACAAGGGCCTACCATCTAGAGCCTGGACACCTCTTTTTCCCCAACTTTGATGCCCTGAAATTGTTCCAAAGGCCGGACAAGAGGGGACGTGATTCCCTGATGGCAAAGAAGGAGGAGAAGGACAGAGGATGTTTTATAAAGTCACCCGGTTCTTCGGAGAGACCGCCATCAGGAGAGACGTTGGTTGAGCCACAGGATTTGGCAGCTTCTCATTCAGAAAGCAGCAAAGGCAAGCTCCCGCACCACCCGCTCCCTCACTGCAAGACTCCTGAAGACCACAAGGAGCCTAAGCCTGCCCAGCTCTTCTGGGGCCCCCCTTCTCTACACAGTGAGGCACTGCGCTCTACTACCACGGCCTCATATGACCGTTCCTCAACATTTGTCTGTTTCAACAGTATGGCTGAAGCTTCCATTGCCGACTATTCCCACGCGGTTATGCTTCCCACGCCTCTGTCTGTGTATCGACCCCAGACCTGGCTACAGTCTGCAGCCCAGTGTCATCCTCAGCGTGACCCTCATGCTGAGGCACAGCCTCGGCCTCAACCCCAATTCCCTGTCTCAGTCTTGACGCTTTCTTCTCAATCCGAGCTGAGGAACTGTGGGGTGCATTTTCACAGACCCCAGGGAGATGAGGAGCCTCTCAGTCCTTCTGCTATACAGTTCTTGGAATATAACATCTTGAAAAAGGAACAGGAGAGGGTGTGGGGTTTACCCCTTGTGATCCAAAAATCCCAGGATACTTTTTGTCCCTCGCCTCCCAAGGTCTTGTTGGCAAGTCGCTCCTCCAAGACCTGTACTCCCAGGCCTATCCTTCCCGGAGACTTCCCCCTCACCAGTGAGCTTGAGAAGAAACTGGAACACCATCTCCGAAAGAGACTTATCCAACACCGCTGGGGTCTGCCCCACAGGATCGACGAGTCCCGGTCACTCATGAGCCCTCAGTCGGAACTGACTGACTTCCCTGAGTCAAGGAAGAGCCGTGGACTCTCGTGGATTACTTTCTTTAAGTACCGTGGCAACAAAGACTCGCGGGCCATTGTACCTAGAGGATCTGGAAACTCTCAGAGTCGGATGCCTGAAAGACATTCTCTACAGGAGACTGTGGTCAAAGAACAGACATACAGTCAAGATATTGGCCAGGATGGCCATCCCCAGGGTTACTTTCAGGAGGCTTCACAAAAGAGTCTGCAATCTCACTCAAAGACACACCCGAAGATTCATGCAGGCAGGCGGCCTCCCAAGCTTTCTAGACCTTCACCGGGAAGCCAGTGTCAGAAAGGAATTGAAAATGTCCTGGAGAAACACCTGAACAAGAAAATGAGGGAAATCAGTGGGGGTGAGATCCCTACCACCGTGGACAAGTCCAGGCACTCTATGGACATGGTGCGGCGTCCACCTGAGACCTCCCCCAAACAAGTGAAAGATCTGGCACTTCTGACAGGTGAGGAGGACGGACTGACGAAGCACCCACACAGCTTGACGCTTAGTCGGAGCAAAGAAAAGATGCTGGAAGAACACATTACAGCCTTCGGCAGGAGGATGGCATTTGGCCTTCCGCAAAGAGTTGAGGAGTCCTTAGAGTCCTACATGACAAAAGGAGAGTCGTCTTGTCCTTTCCCTCAGCTCCATGTTCGAGGCCACAGCGGTCCCAGAGCGGACTGTGACAAATCCTCCAGGTTCCTCCAAAGAAACACTACTGGAGATAGAATGGGGACAGTGAATTCAGTCCCCACACAACAAAGGCCTGTCCCTGCTACCTTGCTTGTGGGTCACAGCCAGCCAGCCTCTGAGAACAAGAAAGAGTGTGTAGATAAAGACCTTAGCATAGCCCCAAGGGGCAGAGAGCCAATCCAGCACTGGACACCCAGTATGGCAGACAAAGGCATCCTGCAACAGTCTAGACCAGACAACAGACCTGGCCCAGAGCTGCCCATGAGCCCAGATGGGCCAACACATGAGAGACTGGCTTCCAGCACCAACACACGGGGCTCTCAGGGAGAAAAGATGAGCTGGGAACATGGCTCCAGGGATGAGGGGCCCATGGAGCTACACAAGGGAGAGCAACTCCATGGTCTTCACCCACAGTCCACTAAGAACTTGAGAGGCACCCAAGGCCTGTGCTCCCCAGGGAGCCACGTGACTGCATGTCAGTTCCTGAAGGGAATGTCAGGTCCCCACAACTCTGAGGAGCCTGACTCTAAAAGTCAGGTGTCCACGGAAGTCATGCCAAACTCAGAGGGCAGGCCACACATCCAGATGCCAGACCTGCCTGCCCCGCCCTTTGCCTCAGCAGAAATGACCTCCAAACCCCAGGGCCCCTCCAGTGGGGACATGGCAGTTTCTCAGGTGCTGCACGTGCACTTGCCCACCGTGGGCATCAACATGGAGTCCCGGCAGGGTCCCTGGGTCCCTGCATATGTCTCAGGCAAGATCAAGAACAAGGACTGTCCCCTGGCTGCCAGAGGATTGCCCACACTGGCAAGTGAAGCAGGAAAGCTTGGTGGAGGGGATGCAGGCTTAGGGACATCCCAAACCAGAGGGAGGAGACACTGTGTGCAGGCCGGGACACCCGAGGAAACACTGGGACACTCATCGTCCCCAGCACTGACACCTAAGAGCCAGCCTCTGGAAAATCAGTTCACCAGCCAGGTGAAGGGCTTCTGGCAGAGGCTGTCCCCTGGGAGGAAACACAAAGGACAGGAAAAGTCCCTGGCCAAGAGCTGCTCCCCATTGACATCTGCGAAGGGCACAAGGATCATCAGAGGGAGATGTGAGTTTTGTGGCAACCCTGAAGCTCAGAAATGTGGGAGAGACCCTGGGATGGTCCTGAGGAAACAGCTAGGGTACAGGCACGGGACAGTCATTCCCTGTCCCCAGGCACCTGTGTGTCCCCTCATGGAGTCTGAAGAAGCTCAGCAGGAGGTGCACCTGCAGGCTCAGGCAGAGCCTGTCCAGAGGCTGCCCCACTTCTGCTGCAAAGCTTCCTGCTCTCAAGGGCAAAGGGATGAGTCCTG